CGCGAATCGCGCCGCGACCTCCCAGAAGGCGTGGGCCAGCGCCAAATGCGCCTCCACGACGGAGCGGGTTCGATTCTCAGTGCTCCCACTCAACTGTATGATTTATACCTTTCTCTTAGGCCTATAAATCTGCGTGCAAAATTCACATTACTGTCTCGAAGGGTTATTAAACCTACTGTCAAAACAGCTAGGAAGTCTGAGCATGAATACGCTGCCAGTAATACTTTGTCGGGAGCTCGGGATCGAACCTGGGGACGCGTCGGCTCTGGGCCGTGCTTCCGAGGCGCGTCGACGCGATTCGCGTTTCCGCACTTCATTGAAAACGGCTGTAAGCGCAAACCGTCCTTGGTCATGTCCCCGATTGCTCCGGGACACCCCGGTATCTGGATGGGACTTCATGTAAAGACCTGCGATGATCGCTCGTCGACTTAGTGACTCCCTTTGCATGTATCCAACCAGAATATGACATGTATCAATTCGTACCCAACATGCGTTTGTTCGTGACCCATGCCCTCCTGCGCTTAAATGTGAATTAGCGTGAGAAACGATTCGGTGATTGCCGACTAGCACTCTTCGGCTTTACTAGGGTTGGCGTTGTTGGTTGTTCTAGACCTCGATGCCAACACCGACAGCCTCGTAACAGCTCGTAACGTGCGAGTATGGCTTCTGTATCCACATCGTATCTGCCGTCACATAGATGCAGTCTCTATATGCTGACCTGACAATGCGTGACGGTCTTGCTCCGGGCATAAGCTTCTCTTACGCGCACGGGACACGGCGAAGTTCGCGTCGAGCTTCGGCATTCTCATCTGCGGAAGGACCTCAGATACTCGCTGATGGACGTACCGGAGATGCCCTGCCGATTGTATGATCTATGAACTCGCTGGAGGAGTCGCCGGTCAGCTACAACATGCTCCTTGCACCATACAATGGCTCACTGTGGTACACGCGCTATGCAAGGTTGTTGTTCCCTAATTAAGGTCTGTCACTGACTGGGGCGGTCATACGGTATCATGTTTTTTGCCGTCTATGCGCCATGAGCTGCGGACCATAGAAATCGTGACGCCGAAGTTGGAGATCATAACTCCCAGCTCGCATCTTCGAGCATACAAGCTTCTCCAGATCTTCGGCATTATCCCCACTGCGCGGCCCGTATTATACTCACTCATGCTCGTAAACAGTTCTCATGGATGCAGTGCGCACCCTAATCTCTCGAAATACATGCGCAGTGTCTGCCCAACAGCTCCTTGCGAGCGCAAGCTCACAGCAATAGCAGCGAACGGTATCGCTGAATTACAGTAAACCAGCCACGTCGCCCTTGTGCTCTACAGGCTCTCCCTCAGACTTTGGCGTCCTTTGAAGTAGAGATACACTTCCCTGCTCTTTCACTCACCCGCCGCCAAGCAGATCACCGCCCGGTGAAAGCGGAGTCTGCAAGCGAATGGTAAGTAGTCTCGTATGTCCGTGCGTATTCTTGTGTCTTCATTCGTCTGATCTCGGCGATTGCGACCTCCTCTCACACGAAGCAGTCGCGTGGGTGGTCTTCCTCCTCTGTTGGAAGCGGTTCTTCTTACCGTGGACGTATGCCTGCGGTGGCATGCCCGCGCTGACCTCGAGATAGTCTTGTAACCGGGCCCGAAGATTTTATGTACTTCGAAAGGTGCGAGCGATATATAAAGGTGTATCGTACTCCTGAAGCAGACGTTATCCCAATGGCGTTCTTTGAGACTTCTCCCTCTCAACTATACTACCTCGCTGCAGGTGTCCTTCTCGTCTCGGCTGCAGCGGCGGTGCGTCTACTTCGCCCGTCACTCAAAGGCATCCGTGGCCCACCGCGTTCTTCCTTCTGGCTTGGTAACCTTCGGCCCTTCGCTGTCGTCGGTGTGGGTGCTAATATATGATAGGCAATGAAGGCGATATGAGATATCAGTGTGACGTCGGAGACGTTGAGTTTCCTTGGCTCGGTGAATATGGAGGTGCATGGAAGATATGGGGACCGCTTGGGGTACGCTCGCCGTGACAAAGCAATCGCGACTGTACACATACTAACATTCATCATATAGGAGGAAAGACTCGTACTCGCGGATCCGAAGGCTCTGCAGTATGTCTTACAAACATCGGGCTACCGCTTCCCTAAGCGTCCGGACACCCGCGCAAATGCTCGAATGCTGCTCGGAGACGGGATCATCTGGGCCCACGGCGAGTTGCAAAGCAGAATCGGCCGTTGAGATATGCTCATCTACTGTCCAGGCGAGCGACACCAGCGGCATCGAAAGATCATGAATCCGGCTTTCTCCGTCCCCCAGCTCAAGTCCTTCTTGCCACTCTTCCTCCGACATGGCGAAAAGGTTTCTTCATGTTCCTCCTTTGTGTGTGCTCCAGTCTGACGCAAGTCTTGTACAGTTAGCTCAGAAATGGAAGGAGGAGGAGATCGCGCCGAACGGCGACCAGGCGCCGGTGTTCAACGTTCACAAATGGCTTTCACGGACGACTTTGGATGTCATCGGAGAAGGTATATGCGGATAGTGGGTCCTGTACACTCTGTTTGACCTGACCTGACATTTGCAGCGGGCTTTGGTTTTCACTTCGGCGCTCTGGATGATGCAACGCATGAACTATCAAAGATCTACGATAACCTCTTGTCAGTATTCATCGCACTGAGTCGGTCTGGCGAGGCTCACATAGAACAGCGTCGACACCAGTCTTTACCCACCTGCGTGGGACATCGTCTTCCGCTCTCTGTGGGGGTTCCTACCCGAAGGCCTCCTGTGGTATTTTCGCTATCTACCCGGCCGCGAGTACCGGCGTTTCCGGGGATACCAGGATTTCATGCGGGTTTTTGCGCGCAAGCTGATCAGCCAGACCAAGACAGGCGCCAAGGGAGAAGGCAAGGATGTTATGAGCGTGCTCATGCATGCGAACGAAGCAGAGAACCCTAAGCTCAAGCTGACGGAGGTAGAGATGCTAGACCAGATTTCGTGAGTACACGCTTGACTGTGCGTTCTGTTGCGAAGGGCCTTACTTAGTGCCTTTTCGTCGTAGGACCATCATGCTTGCTGGACATGTACGTGATCCAGACCGTTTCATGTATTCGCTTCTTGATGACACGAGGTGTAGGATACGACTGCCAGCAGCCTGACATGGTGGTTGTACGAGCTTGCGCGTCACCCCGACTGGCAACTACGCGTCCGCGACGAGATTCGCGACGTGCGTCGTAAGCTCCAAGAGCGCGGGGACGACGACTTCTCCATCAGCGATCTCGAGGGTATGTCGGTTATGCAGGCCACGCTCAGGGAGGCCATGAGGATTCACCCTATCGTATGGCTGCTCAATCGGACCGCTGGTCAAGACGACGTGATCCCGTTGTTGAAGCCCATCGTGACGGAGTCAGGTCAAGAGATCTCGGCTATTCCTGTCCGGAAGGGCCAGAACATTGAGATCTCCATCGCCACTTATAACCGGTATGCCTTACAGCTATCGCATGTATGGATCGATCTTGACGTTCTCGCAGCAACCCCGATGTTTGGGGCGCCGATGCAGGCGAATGGAACCCAGAGCGGTTCATGCGCATCGACAAGGCCGGGATGACATCTGTGGGCGTATTCGCAAACTTGCTCAATTTCTGTACGTCGCGCTCAGTATATTGTGACGACATTTCCGCTCATGCGTGTATTTAGCCGCCGGACTTCGCGCTTGTCTAGGTATGCCGCCCATGGGACTCATGTCTGAGCATGTATCTGACACATGTATCTCTGCAGGCTGGCGTTTCTCCGTGATTGAGATGCAGGCCATCGCGGCGACGCTCATCGAGAACTTCGAGTTCGGCCTGCCGCCCCAGACGAAGGAGAACATCATCCACCGTAAGCCGACGGGAGTCATGGCCCCCATGACAGAAGGTGGTACCAGTATTTGGATGGGCCTTAAGGTCAAATACTGCGGGTCTGCGTGAGCGTCGGATACAGGACAGTTTGTAGGTAGCTTGAGCTTACTAAGGATCCTGATGTACATATTCTTCTCCATACGACAGTTAACGACCATCTATGCGCTCTTTGTATTCCATCCCTCAGCGAAGAAAGAGGTCGTGGACGTGGCAGTACTGCAGGCAATTTTCTCACTCCTAGTTCCTGTATATAAGTTATCCATTACTACATGGAAGATATGCCCTTATTGATGCTCGCTCGCTCGCATCGAGAAGGATAGCAAAGGCACAGTCCATCGGAGGGTATCAAGGGCGTCTTCCGGCTAGCCATTTCCACTTCTATCCTGCTCGAAACCGTGAAGAGTGCGCATTCGCATTGCGGATCACCGAGGTCGAATCCTCTCGGCGTAAGATACCATCATCGCGCATAACCTTCTTCGGCTTGAGGCCGGCTTGGCTTGATCCAACATGCTTGCTTGCATATACGCCAGAGAGTACTCGAAAGAGCGGACCAGGAACTGTGGACCTTGATATTGGGCTTTCAATGCTTAGACAGATGTCTGTGCCGAGCACAGCACGCTGAGACAATGATTAAGCGCTAAGCATAGTTCGGGCAATATGGTGGTGGTTGCGGAAGAAGCGCGTCTCGCCCGTCGCGGCGAAACGTGCGCGTAAGTCGCTGTAAGTCGCCCCACGTCCTTGCCTCCCTCCCCCACCTTCCCATCCGCCTTCCCGGTCACCGTTATCACTCAAAATGTCGAGCAAGGGCTGGTTTAACCTTGAATCGATTGGCGGGACCATTCCGGAGACACAATTCTTCGAGGGCGATTCGGCGTTCAGCTTCCTCGGCTTGACCAGGTGCGTACCCGTGCTATGTGGCGAACATGACTGCTGACACTGGCGCGCAGGAAGCAGCGTTTGTACGGATTTGTGGCTTGCTACGGCATTGGCTTTATTCTCAGCTTGCTTGGGACGATCTTATTGCTTCTAGGCGGGTTGACTTCTTTCGCTAGTAGGTGGCTCTCCGTTTTGGGACATACAGAGGCACTCAATCGCGGACAAGTTCTCTATGCTCTCGGGACTATCGTCTCGCTTATTGGAACCGGCTTCTTGATTGGCGTAAGCAATAATAATACTGAAAGCTTGAGACCCTATTCTGACTTAACTTCTAGTTCTCGAAACAGCTGAAACTTGTACGTTCTTTACCTTCGCTTTTGGTGGCGAGAGCTGACGCGGCTGCACGCCCTGCATACAGATGTTCAAACCTGTTCGCGTTGTTGCAACCATTATATTTCTCATCTCTATTGGGCTCATCTTCGTGGGCGCCTTTGCTATTGGCAACGGTGTCATCTGTATCAGTGCGTACACCGCCCACCGAGTGGTTGAGGCCTAGCTAACGGGCATGTCACACTCTAGTCTTCGTGATGATTGAATACGTTGCATTCCTGTGAGTTCATCATCCTCCTGCCAGTCGCTGCCCTCTGACACCATTCCCGTCAGATGGTATACGTTGTCGTATATCCCGTATGCGCGCCAGGCTGTCCTCGGCTTCTTCGGTGTATCATAGGCATCACAGGATGTCGGCGACCGTGTCCGTTGTGCTTTTCTACTACTGTAGACTGGATGTCATGTATGTATCCGCTTACGAGTCATGACATTATGCATCAGGAGGAATCACCACGTTCAGCTACTGGAATCAATACACAGCATGGGAGTCGGCATACTGGGGATAGAAGGACTGCTAATGGAGATCCTCTGACGCGCACTGGACGGGCATGATCTACCGCCCGTATCATGATCTCCGCGTTGGTCCGTCAGACGTCTACGAGGTCCATGATGCCTCCGGTCCTTATCTTACCTACGACAGATATTTGTCGTTCTTCTTTCTTCCAAACAGAACCCGCATGCGTTCAAAAGCTCGCGCAGCGTACAGCCCCCTCCCTCGACTTCAGTCTCCCAGCGTCTCAGTCACGCCACCAGGTTGACGCAGTATATTCAAATCCATGGAAACCTTCACATCTGAGGAAGAGATTCCGTTCATCCCGCTCAAGGACGGTACACAGCGAGTCCCGGCAGCCAGCCTGAAGCCTATTACCTCTTTCAAGATCAGAGCTGTCTATATCCTCCTTACTACCTCCGTCGTCCTCAACTTGACTCTCCTGTTGCGAAGGGCGGGGCCCGTCAACAGCACAGCGTCGGTCTGCCAATACCTATATTGTGCGTCTGTCTACTTCGCTACTAATCGGGCGTGCAGCCCTGACTAGTCCTACAGCACCAGCCACGGAAGCCATTGAGTACAAGCCAGTGAAGTTCACCCGAGGCTACGTCGGTGACGTGCCGCTGTACGAACAACCCCCCTCGGCCGAAGTCGATGCAGCTTGGAAGGCGCTGTGGCTCTGTAAGTACAAAGACCCGCCGATCTAGGGACTGAAGCAGCTGACTGAACTCGCCTTTCTCCACAGCGCCCGAGATAGTGTCCATACCACGTTCTCAGGCAGCGCTCCTACCCAACAGAACATGGCCTATTCTCGGCAACGAGGAAAACTATATGACCGGTTTGGACATGTTCCATCAGTTACACTGTCTGGTCCGTAGCCCCTCCTTCCTCCTCCACTTATCGCTATCTTTCTGACGAGGGTGCAGGATACACTGCGCATGGCCATTCACCCTGAAGACTACCCTGATCTGGACTATACGATCAACCACCTCCGGCACTGTGTAGGGCACCTCCGCCAGGCGATTATGTGCTTCGGAGATGTTACTCCGGTTGCAATGCAATGGAGTTCAGCTCTGTCGTCGGCGGTCCGCCGCGACGATATCATGCACAGTTGCCGGGTTTACTCGAGTCTGCGCGAGTGGTCGCTGGCACGTCACCTCGAGTATGATGGCAAGGATCTCGCCGTATACATAGACGATCCCCTCTCCGCGTAGTAAGATGCGAGGGCTGTATGTCTTCCATGTATGATACCGAAGATCGTCTGCGTCGTAATACAATGGCTGTAGTCACCCGCCTTTCTGCGAGACTGTCAGCCTTCTGTCTCTATGATCCTGGAAGGATGATAAGAACATGCCAGGATAGCCATCACATCTCTAGGGCATACACGCGGGCGATAACGAGGATCCGCTGTTTCTGACTGGAACTCTTCAACGTCGTGGATCTTGTCACCCGACAGCTCAACCGCGTCCCCTCTTATCGGTTTATATACCGCATGCATTGCACGAACGACTCGTTATCGTCATTCGCCATGAAGCTCCTCGCCCTGCTCAGTGCCGCCGCGGCCGTCATGCCGCTCGCTTTCTCCGCACCCTCTCCTGCAGACCTGAAGCAGAAGTGCGTGCGATGAAGTATAGTACAGTACCTCTGATTGACGCTGTATCAGGCGCACTGTGTTGTTCCTTGGCGATTATGAGCATAACCCGGAAAGAGCGTAAGTGTCTCGCGGGGCGTGTAGAGATAACGCAAACATCAACGCATGGCTCAGCGACGCAGACACGGTCCTCTTTCTGGGAGACTATGAACGCAACCCCGACCAGGACATGTTTGTGCCCCATACCTGTACCCCACTACAGATACTCATGTATCTAATCAGAGAAGCGAACACCGTCCTTTTCCTCGGTGATTACGAGAAGAACCCGGACGATATGTGAGTACGGCGAACGATGCTCACATGAGCCATACCTTCAATGTTGATGCACTGCACAGTAAGGCAGACACTGTTCTCTTTCTGGGAGACTATGAGAAAAGCCCGGATGCTTAGAACATTGTACTTGAACACGATTTGGATCGTATAACAGGTTTCGGCAAGGGAGCTTAGGGCGCCGATGCCGACAGAGCAAGGAGTATAACTGATGGATGTGCGTGTGGCATGTACAGTAGAGATGAAGAAGCGTAGTAAATGCGCCCATGGAAAGCAAGAGAGAGAGGGATGATATGGAAAGAGAAGGCTGGATCTATTCGAAGGCACAACCGGCGGCATCGCGATCAATCTCGCCTTCGCACACAACACCCCACGAAAGAGTCCAACCGCCGAGCGCGAGGACAGCTAGGACGACGGCCCACCATCCGGCGGTCGCCATGCCGAAGAGTGCACTAGCACTCGCAGGTGCGAAGGAACGGGCGCCAACCATGAATGTCTGCACAAGTCCGTTAGCCGCGCCCAATTCGCTCGGACTGGGCGAGGCGCCCTTGACCAGGATCATGCCAGTGGCGTAAGCGAGACCTGCGATCTTGCTGAGCCCCAGAAGCGCTGCGATGGCCACCCAGAGCGCGGCAGGCGACCAGGCAAGACAGTATGAAAGGAGTGGAACGCAAAGCAAGGCGGGTGCCCAGAGTAAGCATGAGATGCGGTAGAGGCGTGCGAGATCGCAGCGTGCCAGAAGAATCGGCGTGATGAAGAGTTGAATGAGACCGGACATGATGCCGGCGAGCGCGAGCGCCATGCCAATCTCCGCAGCCTATGCGATTGTTAGCATGATGATGGTGTGGCGGAAGCGGCACGTACAGAGAAACCTAGTCCTCCTCGCTCAACCGATTCGTAGCAGTAGAGTACAAAAGTGACATCGAAAGCCGTAGAGATGAAGCTCAGGCCAGCACCTGAAACACAGAGTGCGCGGAGAGCAGGCAGTCGAAGGAGCTCGCGAGTGCTGAGGGTGGCATCTTCCTTCGCCACGTCTCCATCCGGCTTGTTGGGCAGAGTCTGTGTGATCTGCCAGTCAGCGTCCGGTTATTGAACGAAGTGAAACATTAACACGCACTTCTTGGAGAAAGAAGTAGCCTAGTGTGACTCCTATCACGGAGAAAGATGCCGAAAAGGCGCAAGGGAGGAAGTACGGATGCGATTGCCAGAAGGTACCAGTAAAGACCGAGGGAAAGTGAGTGGCCGGATTGGAGAAGGTACCGCCGATCAGCGGGCTATACACCGAATGTCAGCGATATATATGACAGAGCACCAGAGGGAAATATATACCCGAGGATCGATCCTAAAGGCCAGGCGAGACCGTAGATTGGGAAGGCAAGGGCTTGGTTAGTGGCATCGGTGAGCTCTCCAAGCGTCGAGTGCATCACGGCGACGTTCCCAGAGAACAAACCACCTGACCCAGTATCAGCGCAATGTCAGAGTTGATGCTTGTGGGTCCTAACGCACCTGAGCTCCGCGCTATGAGCACAGCTGGGAGACTCTTCGACGTTCCGAAGACCAGAGTGCTCATTGCCATTCCCAAAGCGCCGATGAATATGATTGGCCGCCGCCCGAAGCGATCAGAAAGACGCGCCCAAAGGTAGATTGTAGAGAGTTGCGCGATCGCAAAGACGCTCTCGACGAGGCCGGCATAGAACGGCAGCCGCTCATCCTCGATGGCTAGAGATGCGAGCATCTCATTGATGTAAGGGAAGATCTGGGTGAAAGCGACTGGATCGGCGATTCGACAAATGCAGAGCACAACGAGCTGTTTGGTAGGGACTGGTGTTATGCCGACAGTCTTGCGCGAGTCGTTCTCGCCTTCCTCAGCTGTGGCCAATATGTCTCGTGCACTTGACGACGGAGAGATAGCATGTGCGAGTAATGATGTTGTCTCAGTCGGAGTTAGGAGCGTGGATTCCGTGTCATTGCCTGTTTCATAACCGGAGTCCGACGAGGCCACGCGAGTATCGAGAGGCCGACAGACGTGGAGTGAATCCGGATCGGTATAGCTGAGTGTACGTTGCATAGGACCAAAGAAGCGAGAGTAAGGACCGGATGATTCGCGATACTGCGCGAAGGGGAGACGATGCCGCTGCCTGCCCGGCCATTGCGCGGCTGACAAGCTTATAATATGTTTGCATGCGCCAGGCCAGACATCAGGACGGGCTGCAGCGAAGCTGGACGGGACGATGGCCTGCATGTATGACGACAGAGCCTGTCATTCAGTCGAATGTTGACAATGATGCCCGTACTAAATTTCCTACACAGATAGATCCTCGCGCCTAGCTTACAACATGACTTGCGGACGACTTGACAGAGCCACTTCAAACACTGTTCGGGATTTGCATGGCCCCTACACAAGCGCTCACCCTCTGAAATTGTTCTTCATGGTCCGTAGTTTGTCCATGATCTCGCTCTCCGTGGAGCTGGATGTAGCTTGGGTCGCACTCCTACGTAGAATCGGGTGACTATCAGTCGCTTGACAACCGAACAATTCGAATGACGCACTTCACTGGCTCGCTTGCCAGACGCATGAAAGGGTTCCACTCTTTCTCGTCGCCAATAGTGGTCAACCCAGTAGTGACAGCATTATCCTCGACGATCTTGCGTAGGCGAGCCAGCCCAGCGTTATCTGGGTCCACGGAGAGGGCAAACTTGAGGCTGCTTGCGGTGTATTCGTGACCATTATTGACAATGGTCTTGTCCGGGAGTGTACCCAAATACGAAAGAGCCTTGTGCATCTCCTCTCCAGTGCCTTCGAAGAAACGACCGCAGCCAGCGATGAAGAGCGTATCTCCAGTGAAGACGTTCCCAGGTTGGTCGGGAGAGGTCTTGTCAGTTGCATAGTAGCAGATGGAGTCTTGTGTGTGGCATGGTGTCGCCAAGCACCTTGGGGAGTAGTCAGTGAACAACACGAAGAGCGTTTGACACAGAAGGCGGAGCTAACTTGACGTGGATGTTGTCGCCGATGGTAAACTCTGTCTTATCGCTGACCTTGTCGGTCATAGCAAGAGCCTGGGAGCTTCCTGCATAGATCGGCACATTTGGGTACGTTGCTGCCTGTCTCGACCGGTCAATGACGCCAGATCAAGGACCGCCACAAACAGGACGCACGAAGTCCTGTCGAGCCGCGGTAAGCGCTCGTGTATCGCCTGGACATGCCAGTCACGTACCTTGTTTCCTCCGCTATGGTCGTGATGGTGGTGTGTAGTAATAGCAGCAACAATCTCTACCCCGAGCTGATCTGCGGCCGCCTTCACCTTTGAGACGGTGTAAGGATCAACGGCGGCCGCTTTGTTCGACTTGTCGTCGATGAGCAGGTACGCGTAGTTATCCTCGCGGACAGGTACTGGTACGACTTTCATTCTGAGCGATGCAGACGAGGTAAATGTCTTTGCAGAGAGGGTAGCTGTCCTCGAAAGTCGCTTGGTGAGAGAGAACATGCTGGAGGTTAGCCGACTACGTCATCGCAGGAGGTCATGGCGAGCTCGGGCCGGCCATCCGCGACGCGTAATTCTGGACCCACAGCAGCTCGTTGACGAGCCGGCGAACGGCGATGACCTTGCCCGGACACGTCGAGGATGTCCCCCGTTCATAATCATCATGCGCCGTTTGCGCTCACACGGCGAGAGCTGACCCCTGCATTCTTTTGATCGTCACCGTAATCGCATTATTCCGTGCAACATCCCTATTACTCTCAGCGGTGGTCTGTAGGATGAACTTGTCGGCTGGGCGGGTCGAAGTGGCTACCGAACGCCGTACTATGTCGCGACACGCGCCCGCTTATCATTCTGCCACACGGCGCTTGCCTGTGCGACATGTATTTGATGCACAGCCCGCCATCGAAGGTGTTGTGATAGTACTGACTCATCATACCTGGTCGCCAACCTTACAGTAACGGCCTATCCAGACTGGGCCTGCTGTGCGGTGCCCAACTCTCCCGCTGTACATGGGAGCCAGCTGCGCCTCTGTTCAGCCCGTCGCCGCGACACCCCAACACCTGCCTGAAATTGGCATCTGGTCGCAGTATTCTGAAAAATAAATCTGACCGTCAGAGCGTGGTGATGTACGTCTCCTCTCCCGGCTGATGGGTCACAAGTCATGCGTTGTCGGGAAGGAGCAGGGTCGGTCAATTGAGAGTGGCGCGAGGAGACGGGTTGATGAGAACTTGATCGAACACCGCCAACCCCTCACGTTGTTAGATGGACGACATATGGGGTACATATATCGGTCGATGGGGATGGATGGGAAGGTTTTGACCCTTGGGCCTCATCGTCGCGTCTTTCTTGCGGCGGATTTCATATTCACGCATTTTACGCCTTTCTATCTTTTCTATTTATTTCTTCGCTTCGTGCGCGAAGCAGGTTTGTGCAACGCCATATACTTCGAACGCCAACATTCTGACAACTCAGTCTCCAGGACGTCCAGGGTTGACAGCAGTTACAGATGCAGGTGGCGCCAGGCAGGACGTGTCGATTGATACTCGCGAGGCAGGGTGGTGGAACCGATGACGGCTCCGATTCTAGAGAACGTACGCTAGACTCAGTCAACCCTCAGTCTTCCTGCCAGTGACAATTATCACAGCTTCTCCACCTGTCCCTGCGGAGACTGCAACGACGGACGCTAACACGTCGACAACCACGTCGACGACGTCAAGTGGACCGCTATCCGATATCTCAGGACTTCTCACCTCGACGCCATCGGGCTCATCGTCTCCTTATACACAGTATAACTCGACCCTTACGGGGACATTTCCTACGGGTTCTTCAGCTGCAACTGTGACAACCAGCGTCCCCACGTCGTTGTCGTCGATGGAAACTCCCTTGGCCTCATCTTCAGCTTTAAATACGAACTCAACCTCAACACCCTTGCCTGCTACTCTCAACTCGACGCACACGGGCCATCCATTACCTATCATTGTGGGCGCTTCCGTAGGTGGTGCAGCCTTTATGTTGATACTCGCCGCCATCCTGGTCTTATGTCTCCGACGGCGTGCCCGTCGTCAACGCATTGCACCATCATCGGAGTTCCTTCATCCAGAAGCGCAGGAACAGTTCCGCTACGCCCGTTCCGCACACACGATGTCCATGGATTCAGGACTCTTGTCAGCGAGCATGGAGAAGTTCCCCGCCAGCCCACCGCTCCCACCATTGTCCCCCCAGCTCGATTCCTTCTTCCCTCGGCCTCACTCCGGGAGCCCAAGTCCAGGCGGTAGCAGACAGTCAACACTTTCGAACGGATCACCCTTTCCCGCAGTGTACTCGCATAGAGCGCGTGCGTCGAGCGCTGGGAGCGTGGCGCTTTCGAGCTTGTATGTTCTGGGAGAGAACGGGCCCGGGATACTACGAGGCGGCGGTAGCCCTTTGAACGGATTCGCCATCGATACCTCCCCACTGGGCTACGACAGGTACATGCACGATTCTACAAGTGATGGACTACATATTGTACCTGAGGATTCTCATGAGATAGGCGTGGCTCGATAGTGTACCGTACTGTCAATGTAGTCCGTGTGGTGTACTAGGCTCTCTTCGTCTTTTCATACATAACTTATATGCCCCTATGATCACCGTACGCGTGTACTCGCCGCAACTCAAACATTCTTCTGAGCCTAAATGGAACGTCGGAGAAGTCGATCCAGGCACGAGCTATCGCACTGGGTGGCGAGATTTGACATCTGCGCAGTGTCATTCGCGCCGCGCCTGCGAGGCGGTGGTGTTCGTATCTTGGACACGACGTTCATCTAGCCATCCTCCACGTAACTCTGTCCACGAATAACGTGTACCATGCTCGACCATTGTTCAATATTGCATAAGGGTTCGTCCCCCACAGCGCTATCGTGGGCCATGCCCTGACAAGTAGTCCAGGGGGGATCGTCCTCTGGTCGCGGTCATTCACGCCCGCGGCCGAGCAACTTGCACACTCTACAGCATCGCCGGTCAACGCGTTAATCCGTGATGCTTTCTTGGAAGGTCGAGCGTCTGAGCAGAAATACGAGAAGGATGGCTACGCTGTGCGATGGACCTTTATGAATGATCTCGAGCTCATCTTCGTCGTACGTGTTCCCTTCAACGGTGATCTACTATGTTCTCACGTGTATCTTGTAGGTTGCCTACCAGCGCATACTGCAGCTTACATATGTCGAGGATCTTCTGGTCTCTCTCAAGACGCTATTCGTCAAGCTCTTCCAGCCGTTTTTGACATCATTTGTCGCTTCCCTTCACGCTGCTTCCACAACTGTGACTTCGGTGACAACTCTGAATCTTGCCACGGCCTTCGAAGGCTGGGATGCAGTCTTCGATAAACTGCTCAAGGGTCTGGAAGACAAGGCCTCTGCTGTGAGTTCACATGGTCATATGCTCCGCCCAGCCACTCACCATGACCCCAGGAGCGTCGCACGCGCACGCGACAGACCTTGGCTGTGCCGGTCGAAACCCCGAGCCCTCTGTCTTCGGATGTCGAGACGAGTAAGGCGTTGTTATGACTGTCTATTCATCTATTCTGACGCCGGGTTGCAGCACCAACTGTAGAAACCGAGGCCATCACCGATGAACAGAAGATAGCGAGGCGTGCACAGGCCCTCAAAGACAAGCTACGTGGTCGTGGAGGACGAAGGAGGGGAGTGGGGAGGACGGACTCGGGGGCGGGTAGTGGGCGCGATAGTGGGACTTCAGAGTACGTGCTCCTCTCCAAACCGAATAGCAGAATGTGTCCTGACGCTTCGCGAGCAGTGTCGAGTCCCCGCGCAAGACCAAGGGGAAGGCTCTGCGCAAGTGGGGCAACGAGCCGGTCACAGAGTCCGATATGGCCGAGCTTGACTTCTCATCGGACAAGCCGTCCGACTTGCCGGTCAACGTCGATGTGCAGGCACTCATCGACGCGGCTTCGTTGGGCACCCGGAGAGACGGGATGTACGAAGTGAAAGACTGGGAGCCATCTAACGCCAACGGTGTGGAGACGGGCAAGGAGGATAAAGCACAGGGCCTGCTTGGCAATGTGTTTGCTCGCCTGACGGGCGGGAAGACCGTCGATCCCGCCGAACTTGCGCCTGTTCTGGAGGCGATGAAGCAACATCTCATGAAGAAGAATGTTGCTAAGGACGTCTCGGAGAAGGTGTGCGAGAGTGTCGGCGAGGCATTGGTGGGGAAGAAGTTGAGCGGTTTCCAGAGTAAGTCCTCCAGGATCGCTTTGTTCAGTACGAAATCTGACCACCCTCCAGCGACGAATGCTGCTGTCAGACAGGCGCTTGCGGCTAGCATCACCCGCATTCTCACGCCACGAACATCTACGGATGTTCTTCTTGCCATCCGCGCCAAGCGCGATGCTCTCGCCAGCAGCAGTACCGCCCGGCGCGACCCATACGTAATCACGTTCGTCGGCGTGAACGGTGTTGGAAAGAGCACGAACTTGAGCAAAGTCTGCTTCTGGCTCGTTCAGAACGGGCTGAGGGTACTCATTGCCGCCTGCGATACCTTTCGTAGCGGTGCGGTCGAGCAGCTGCGAGTCCACGTACGGAATTTGAGTATGCTGGCCGAGAGCGCTGCGGACGGGAAGGGCGGCGTTGAACTTTATGAGCGCGGATATGGCAAAGACGCCGCGGGCATCGCGAAAGAAGCCATCACTTATGGACGCGATAATGACTTTGATGTCGTGCTCGTCGATACTGCAGGGCGGATGCAGGACAACGAGCCATTGATGCGCGCACTTGCGAAGCTCGTCGCGGTGAACAACCCGGACAAGATCCTCTTTGTCGGCGAAGCGCTTGTGGGCAACGAAGCAGTCGATCAACTCGGCAAGTTCGATCGGGCGCTCCGCGACTTCTCGTCGGCGTCGGGCACAAAGGGCCGTGGGATCGACGGGATGCTGGTGACAAAGTGGGATACTGTCGACGATAAGGTTGGAGCGGCGCTGTCGATGTGCTATGTCACTGGACAGCCTGTTGTATTTGTTGGTACAGGCCAGGTGCGCTTCTTTCCCCCTTCGCTTCTATTGGCGCTGACGTATGGTGCGCAGACCTATACCGACCTTCGTCAGCTTCGCGTGCAGAATGTTGTACAAGCCCTGTTGAGCGATTAGGTTTCGGCTATAGCCCCCCTTCCTTGTATGCATCATTATATATATCATCCGCGGGCTACATCGAGCAGTAGGGCAGCACTCCGCTCCGAGTCTGACAAGCGTCTACAAAGCTGGTTCACATGGATCCACAGCCTCACGATATGAGGCTCCAACGTCAGAGCCATGCCACTTTCGTAGAAACCTGACAGAAAGACGATATGATGTGGCATGTCAACCCGCGATAGGCAAATCCACCTGAGTATGATGCCTCCCACGTCGCCCTGTCCGAGGACAAACAAGGAGGACGAAACCCCACTCGTTTACACGCGTCCATCATCATATCTATCCCCACTGGTCGCGTTCTATATTCGCTCTGCATGGGCGTCGACGAAGCTTTTCCCGAATCTAAACAGGGGCGGCGCAAGCTACAGCTAGGGCGCAAACTTGGTTTGGGTCGCAGCCAGACACCAACAACGTTCTCACAAGCTCAAGCGCCCGTCGCCGCTGACGCAGGACCGTCCTCGGGTATCAGCCCAGCAAAAACCGGCTGGTCTGTCCTTAAGCGTACACTCGCCACTGTCAGGGATGCATCAGATCTTTGCCCTCCGCTCAAAGCGTCCTTGGTGGGTATTGTCAAGTTGATGGACCTGGTGGACGTGTGTTTCATCTTCATATTCATGCAATATGGAGCGCTCATATCCACTAGCGAGTGAAGGACGCGCAGTCTGACTTCGAAGATGTCGCACACAGGATACAACAGCTGCAACGTATCTTTCAGCACTACCAAAGGGCCGATGGCCCTCCATCTTCGACAGCATCACAGCGCCTGGACGGTATATCCCGGTGAGCATGCCGTCGTCTTTTCCAAATATATGCGATTGAATTCGATTCTTCTTTAGCGCACTGGACTTGGTGAAGTGCACCATAGATGTCAAAACGGGTCGAGGCTTATGTCGTCGTATACTCGAATCCTCGGAAGATGTTGGGGCGGTTGTGAAAGCCTTTCGATGTGTCGCGGTTTTGGTAGAGAACTTCAATGTGCGTATTAGGAAGCCTTTCTTGAACAACTGTCTATGTCTGTATCTGACGCGCGTGCCAATGTCGTTAGGTTGATACTCTCATGCAACTTGAACTCCATGCAGTCGCGATCCGACGTGTAAGATTTACTATTGCTTTCACAACCACTGGCCTGACATTGGACCAGAGCATTGACGACCTGACCAGAGACAGTGAGTACTGCATAGACGTTTATTCAGCGGATTCTGACGGTTGCATACCAGATATCATGAACGAGCTTCGGCATGTACGGAATGCAGACCACTCTTCCCAGGATCAGGAAGGTTGCATGGCGAACACGCGTGTCTCTTTGCTCAATGAACTATTCACTTGGAGCATTGACTGGAGTGCGCCTGGCATCTTCTGGCTCTCTGGGATGGCCGGAACAGGCAAATCCACTATCGCGTGGTCCTTCTGCGAGTTTCTCGCATCCAATGGTCTGCTTGGCGGCAGCTTCTTCTGCTCCAGAACTGGTTCTGCTGAGCGGAGTGATGCCCGCCGCATCATTCCCACCATCGCTCGCCAGTTGTCCAGAGTGAGCGCCGACTACGAGATTGCCCTACTGAGTCTACTGAGGGTAGATCCCGATGTGGCACAGAAGTCCATCAAGTCGCAGAGTCGCGGCTTGCTTCGGACGCTACTCAAGGCCCTGCCCGATAACAGAGGCCTTCAGACGGTCTTGGTCATCGACGCCTTGGACGATTGCATCGAAGAAGACGATGTCGAAGCATTTCTCGACGAGCTCATAGCCCTTGTCACCTTCATGACACCGTCCGTGAAACTGTTTATATCGTCTCGTCCTGAGCCTCACATCAGGCTGCGTTTCGAGGTGGAGCAGACCAGTATCCACAGAATCACAAGGTTACACGACGTCGATCAAGAGTCGGTCAGCAATGATATAGAGGCCTACATCTCGCATCATCTGGCAATCATCCGTCAGTCTCGAAGCCTTGCGACCTTCCCTTTCGATTGGCCTGCCAGATCCGACGTGTGGACTCTGGCTCGCACAGCGGACAGGTTATTCATATACGCCGTGACCGCCGTCGAGTACATCAAACGGGACCCAGTGCAACGGCTTGAGACTCTACTGAGTCAATCGGCGGGGCGACCACTCACAAGGGGTATAGACGCCATATACTCTTCCGTGCTTCTCGAGGCGATCAATCCTGAAAAGCACGAGACACGCGAGGTTGACTTTCTAAAAAGCGTTCTCTCCGTCATCCCTATCCTAGAAACACCTCTGGCACTGTCTTCTCTCGGAGATCTACTTGGTGTGTCTACAGATCGCGTGCGCATGGCATTGGACCGGCTTCATGCGGTGGTGAACGTGCCTCAGGATGGAACTACGGCCGTGACCATCTTTCATTCGTCTTTCAGCGATTTCATACGGGATCCCGATCGTTGCCCGCCGCGCCTTTACGTGGAACCCGAACAGGCACACGAAGACCTCGCTCACTTGTGTTTCCGGACACTGCATTCCGAGCTTCTACATTTCAACGTATCGCGTTGCCCATCCTCATATCGGTCCACGGCTCGTCAACGGCTCGCTACCCTTCGTCCATCTTTGCTTTATGCATGCCTGAACTGGGCGACACATGTGGTCTCCGCGAGTAACCGTGGCATCCGGACATTGCTTCCTGTCATGGAAGCCATACTCCGCGATAAGTTTCTTTTCTGGGTGGAAGCCCTCTACGGAAGCGGTCACGGAGTGAAGACAACGGAGATCTTATGGATGATGTTGAGTACGGTCCGTCTCTTCATCGAATCCTGTGCACGTGCTTGGAACTGACCAATACCTCCAGCTCGAGGTCAGAGGGGTACTGAGACCCACTGCGTCGACTATGTTGCACGAGGCATTCCATTTTCTCCAGTCAGAGGACGAGACGATCGAACGTAGTCTTCCCCATCTCTATTTGTCCGCCTTACCGTCCGCAGACCCTTCTTCCTTCATTGCCGGAGCATTTTGGCCACGATTCTTACGGCGACCGGACGTCAGACCAAAGGGCATGCTTACATGGAGGCGTGATGGCCCAACAACGCCTGCCACCCTATCGCTCGACGTCCTCTACCAAGCAGGTCACAGCAGTGCCGTTCAGGCCGTGCTCTTTACACGGGATGGCTCCAAGATCATATCGGGATCCTTCGACAAAACCATACGCGCATGGGACGCGCGCAATGGAGCTCAGACTATGAGGGTGCCGTTCAGTACTGACACCATCTTGACGCGTAGAGTATCGTCTCTTGCGCTCTCGCCGGACAGACTTTACATCTACTCGGGTTCATGGGATTTCACTATCCATGTCTGGGATGCGCGCACCGCAGAAGAGGTGATGCAGCCCTTTCGTGGACACCGGGGACCCATTCTCTCTGTCTCTTTACTACCAGACGGTAGTCGCATTGTGTCGGGTTCTCAGGACAAAACGCTCCGGGTCTGGGACACGCGGACAGGCATGGACCTCTTGGGACCCTTCGTCGCACACACGAACGCTGTTTGCTCAGTTTCAGTATCGTCGGACGGGAACCTCGTAGCATCCGGCTCTTTTGATGGCTCGATCCGCATCTGGGAAGTGCAAACGGGTGCACTAAAGCGAGTCATTATGGCGCCAGACATGGGCCAAGTATACTCCGTCGCGTTCTCGCCGGACTGTATGCGCATCGCGTCAGCCAGTCTGGATGAGATGAATAGTGTTCGTGTCTGGAACGCTCAGACGGGATCGGAGGACATGCCTCCCTTGGCTGATGGCGCGGGGAAAGCGTACTGCGTGGCCTTTTCACCCGATGGAACACGCATCGCCGCGGGCTACCATGACCAGAGCATCCGCGTTTGGGATGCCAATGACGGAGATGACCTATTCCCTCCTCTAGAAGGTCACAGGGGGCCAGTATGCTCAATAGCATTTTCTCCATGCGGTACTCGCCTCGTATCCGGCTCGTTTGACGAAGCCGTCAGGGTGTGGGAGGTCGCGACGTCTGAGTACAAAGAGCACTACTCACGTCATCCCACCGTTCCGCAGCCGGCTCTTGCACCGAACGATGATGGTTGGATCGAAGGCCCGGATGGGGAGCTTCTCTATCATGTCAGGGATGACTTCTCCACCCACAACCTACATCTTTCTCAACCGATCTCGCGCTGCTCTTTACTGATCGCACTACACGGGATTCAAATCGACTTTACGGGGTGCAACGCGCACGGAGAATCTTGGGCAACCTGCTATACCGGAGGTTGAATAGACATAGGGCCATGTTGCCACATAATGTACCGATTCATGTATTCAATATATCACAGGCCTGCCTCGACGGTATAGAGAGTCGCCAACCCATGTCGGTCGCGCGAGGCCTGAAAGGCGCGTGTCAAGAGTAAACGCGAGGCTTTACCGCGGTTCAGGCTGGCGTAGAAATTGACTGGCGGATAGTCACGTTCGCGTGATGTCACGCGATTTTCATGCGCGCACGCGGCACACCTGCCGGCGGCCCGGCGCTGCTTCTCGCTGCTGCCCAGGGCGCACAAGCCAACGCTATACTCGAAATATATCGGTTGAAAACGCGCTTATCAACTAACATGTCGCCACAATATAGCACTTTATATGACTGCCTTGCTGATGATTGCACGCCCATTCTGCTACAGCCGCTATCGGCTGTCCATCATGGTACAAGCTCGAGTCCTACTGAACAGGGCTCCCCATAACGCCCTCACCAAGCACACCCGCCCTCGCGCGCTCGACAGCCGACTCAGCCACATCGCTCCTCTTCTCCGCCGCTCCAGAGTCCAAGAGAGTAACCGCAAGTTCATGCGCCGCTTGCCTTAGTTTCCGTCTGAGATCAAACGAGACCGTCGACGGGTTCTTGAGGTGGTACGCCGATATCTACACAAAATGACATGATCAGCATGCGCTCTTACAATGATGCACGAGTACGAGTCTCACCGCCGTATGATAACTCGCATACTCCCTCCTCTCGTTCTCAGCGGCCTTATCCGCCCTCTCCCTCTGCTCCTTGCTCATATCCTTCTGCTCCCACCTCTTCTTGATGGACACCGGATCGGGCGATATCCCACGTTGTTTGGGTCCTTTCGGCAACTTCGAGTGCGATGCCGCGGAAGGTTGCGTCGGGATGGGCTTTGAAGGACCTTTGTAGGGCTCGCGGCGTTCCGTGTGAGATTGATTGTGCCGTGCAGGTTCCGTGGGGATCGGACGAGCTGGGAGGCCATGCGAGGGTTGGGTCTGTGTTGGCGTTGGTGCAGGTGTGTTGACCGTTATAGCAGGCGTGGAGTCCGACATCTGGATATCGCCTTCGGCGTCGCGTCTATCTTCCCGACCTTTGCCTTTATCGCGGAAAGTCGACGAGGGAGTGACGGGGGATGGCGCAGCTGATGTAGATACAGAAGGTACAGTCGGCCATTTCGACGGATGAGCAGGTTGAGGTGTCGGTGTCGGTACACGAGGACTACGTGAGCTTGATTCCGCCGGTTTGTCGCGTACTGCGGCAGGTGCAGTAGGGATAGTCGAGGTACTGGCAGCCGCAGGTGCAGTAGGTAGAGGCGCTATACGCGCAGCCAAAGAAGAATGCTTCAGAGTAGACGTCGGCAACCGATGTTTCTTGATGGGTGGCGAACGAGATCTGCTGGCTGTAGACACGGTCGATCTAGACCTAGACGGGCTCCTCGAACGCGACCGTGAACGGCTAGACGAGCGGTCTCTCCTCCGTTTACGGGGTTCAGGCGTAATCGCTCCTTCCTCCGGTGTCTCCTCACGTGACGGAGACCTGGCCGGTCTCGTCGAGCGCTGCGTCTGAGGCGAAGAAGACGGGGAGGTGCGACGACTGTACGAACGCCTACGCGGAGGAGAGCGTGATCTCTCACGGTCCCTTTCCTTTTCCCGTCTGCGGTCGTATGCCGCTGCCTCGTCGCGCGTCTTCCAGTCACGTTGCCGCCGGCTGGCCTGTCGTCCTTCCCTGGCCAGCCTCTCCGCCTTCTCCCTCGCATTTCGTGCGTCCCAAGATTCCCTCTCCGTACGGCGCGACTGGGCAGCGGGTATCCACTCTCTGTCACGTGGATCGTATCTCTCCCATTCTCGGTCGCGGTCGCGGTCTCGCTCACGGTCACGGTCCGCACCAGGCCGGTACGTGTCAAGTCGGTCTCGGTCTCGATCACGACGCGGTGGTGGCGAGCGGGAACGACGGTACGATGACGGCCCGCCGCGCCGGCCTCCTCCGGAACGTCCACCACTGCTCGCACTGGGAACGTAGGAGTCCATAGGTGGTGAGCGAGCTCTGCGTCGTGGAGGTGAGCGTCCGCCGGAACCGCGGTAGTGCCGTTCGTCTTCTCGTTCATAACGGGCGGGTACTTGAGAAAATTCAGGCTTGGGCGGTAGACCAGCCATTACGAGCAATTTATATCAATCTCAGACGAGATGATGGGCGCTATTGAACCTGAAGACCGTGCCGAGTTGAGAGTCGTGTAGTGGTGGTGAGAGTGGAAAGCAAGGCGCGACTTCAACGCCGCGCAGCAAACACGCGTTTGTAAACCATACTTGATCCCGACCACCACCACCGCCTGCAGAACCTTTCCGGAAGATTACACGTCCATGTACCCTCTTGCCTCCCTTGAGCAAATACAACATACGCCCTCCGCTCAGGACGGGATCCCATCAGAGCTCGAGAACGACCTGCGTGCTTATGGCTGCAAACTGATCCATGAAGCAGGCTTGCTACTGAAGCAGTAAGCATCGCTGTATACTCAATATTCTCAGGCGCGACCGGTGACGAATAGAAAGCAGGTAGCCGTGGCTTGCGCACAGATACTCTTCCAGAGGTTTTACTATGTCAGCTCGTTAAAGCAGTTCAGTATATCTGTAAGTTTATCCAACACCTCCTATGCCAGCCACATGGGTACTGATCTGCTTGTAATTCTTAGGACACTGGCATGGGTGCGCTCTACTTGGCTTCCAAACTGGAAGAGTGCCCAATACGAATGCGCGACCTTATAAACGTCTATGACCTTCTTCTCAAGCGGGCCGCCCATACCTCGTCTTCTCAACCATTCAAATACGACCCCATGCCGTACTTCTCGGACACATTCTACGACCTCCGAGAAGCGCTCGTGGTATCGGAGATGCAGATCTTGAAGAGGTTGGGGTTCAATGTCACCGTGTCGTTGCCATACGGGACGTTGGTCAATTATATGAAGTTGTTGGATCTAGCTGGGAGGGAGGATGCTGTCGCGAGAGCTTGGGGATATCTCAACGACGCGTAAGACTTTCTGTGTCTTTCGAGTCCGTACAAAGAACTAACAGGCGATCATCTGTATAGGTTGCAAACGCCGGTATACGCGCTTTACCCCGTTCCGACCATAGTCTGCGCTGCGATCCTGCTCACATCACGATTCCTCTCCATACCCCTACCCGACGCATGGTGGGAACTGTTTGATGCCGAGTACGACGACGTATGGAGCGTTTGCGGGTGGACAATGCGACTCTACATGGAGAGGAGTGAGGACGACAAGGCGAGGATCACCAGGATGACGGGGAAGCGGGCCGTCCGGGAGTGGCTGGAGGCCAACGGGAAAGGCAAAGACGTTGACATGAGATGAGAAAAGGTTGACAGGCCTGCGCCCTTTGCACTTCGCAGTGTGATTTTGATGGATGCAAACGATCATATATGTCTGAGCTATACATTATACTTCTTAGGAAGTTTATGAGTACAGATGTGTGCGAGTGCGAATGAATGTGTCAGAGGGTGGACAGCTATAGCTCGAGAAAGCTGGGCTATGACTTCGGGATGGGTTGGCACTCCATGTGCGTCCGTGTAGGGTCAATGGGAAGTGCGCAGAAGAATCCCTGAGACTGCAACACCCCTCTCAGTGGCTGTCATAGAAGCATGAAGTAGCAACGATCAACACACTTGCATGGCCTCGAAGAGTTTCTTTGAGTGCATTTGTAACTGCGAAGCCCGGGTTAGAAGACGCGCGCCCAAGCAGTCTCGGCACACGTACAATTATGCACTCATTCGGCTTGCCCTTCTCCTCCCTGCACAACTCAGATTGAGGCGCGTCGCGCTCACTGTCAAATGTATACCGTGCACTCGGCGCTTTCTATACGCGTATTAGCAGAAGAAACGACGCGTCAAATTGCAATACGACAGCAAGTACCTGCACAAAGGACTTCAACTCTTTCAGAGGATCCGCTGCGGGTGCCATGGTGGGTGTGTTCGAGAAAGGAGAGCGCATGCTTTGCCGTGACGCGGAGACGCGGCGAGCGGGTGTTGAACGCGATCAGAGTGACGTCATGACCGAAGCTTTGCGATATGGACGCAGCAGGACGCTCGTAGGCGCCATCTTCCGCTCTTTTCTGAGCGTGAATGCGTAGGCTCTCACTGAGTCTCTGAAATAATTGAAAAGAGTTCCAAAAGGTTGAAGGGGCTGTTGAAAGTCCCCAGAAACAAGATATGTATGTATACAGATGATGTACAATATGCTACACGACTACGGCGCGAATGACCGTTTCTCTACCATCCGCGGCTCGCCAAACGTCCACCCTTCATGTCATCGGTGCTATGGGAACGTTAGCCAACGCCATTGTAGTGACAGAGGGTGAGAGTGCTCACATAGTCAAGCCCACCATGGCCTCCCCGAGGTCCTCCGAGATCTCCGCCAACATCTTTGCATTGTTGTAGTGCGTAACAGCCTGTACAATTGCCTTTGCGCGCTTGGCGGGGTCCCCGGACTATACAGAGGATACACATTAGCTCTCATCAACGACGACTACAAGCTGTAGGATTGATCACATACGTGGAAGATCCCCGAGCCGACGAATACGCCGTCACACCCGAGCTGCATCATCAGCGCGGCATCCGCGGGCGTCGCGACACCGCCCGCGGCGAAATTCACAACGGGTAACCTCTTCAACCTCGCGGTCTCCTTCAAGAGGTGGAAGGGCGCCTGGATCTCCTTTGCGTATGCGTACAGCTCCTCCTCGTTCATCACCGTGATCTTCCGGATCGCACTGCTCACAGCACGTTGATGTCTGACGGCCTCTACAACGTTCCCCGTACCCGCCTCACCCTTCGTGCGAATGAATGCAGCGCCCTCGGATATACGCCGTAAAGCCTCGCCAAGGTTCCGCGCGCCACAAACGAATGGAACTTTGAACTGATGCTTGTTGATGTGGAACTCCTCGTCAGCAGGAGTAAGAACCTCCGACTCGTCGATGTAGTCTATCCCGATACTTTGCAGGATCTGAGCCTCTACGAAGTGCCCGATGCGGACTTTGGCCATTACGGGGATCGTAACGGCGTCGACGATCTCTTTGATCATCTTCGGGTCACTCTGCGGGTAGACATATCGGGTTAGTTGGGTGTTGAGTGCGGAAGTGATCTGGAGGGACGCACCATACGCGCGACACCGCCTTGCGCGCGGATATCGGCTGGTACGCGCTCGAGGGCCATAACGGCGCACGCGCCTGCCTCCTCAGCTATCCGCGCTTGCTCAGCCTATCCTCGCGTTGAGCGATCAAATGGAAGGGCGAAAGGCGGGAAACGCACGTTGACCACGTCCATGATCACACCGCCTTTGAGCATCTGCGCCAGACCAGACTTCACCTATACACAGAACAACGATATTGAGTAACGATGCGCGCGAAAGTATGCAGATCAGCATCTGCGCACCCCGAACGTGCCGAGGCTGCTGTTTCCGGCACCATCCTTCGTGGATGCACGCGTGGGTGCGGGCATGGGTTGCGGCGTAGAGGTCATTTTGTAGCCGATAGCGACGATGTCAACAGGCAAGGATCAAGATGGTGGTGGTACGAGAGCAAGAACACGACGTCGACCGCGAGGCGAACGCAGGGGTGACTCGAGCCTCCGCATGCTTGCAAAGTCAAGAAGTTCGGTATGCACGCCCGACGGCCCACGGCGACCAGTCTCGGAGCTCCTTTGTTCCGCCCGTAAAAATAATGTTCGCCGATGCGCGACGCGCACAATACGCTGGCTCGATGTAAGGCCACTATCGAGGGACCGCACTCATTGGCTCGCGAGCAGTAGCCCTGGTATGTGGTGCTGGATCAGTGGTAGATCCAAGCCTACAACCGCCTGTCAACGTGCCGGGATGATAAGATTAGATGGGCGTCTATCAGTGATGAGCTGATGGCGTCGACCGGTCCGCGCGGCAACTTGTGTGTGGTCGCGCGCTTCCCGTCCTACAGCTTCCATGCGACCCTGCTAGCTATCGTATTGGAGGGAACAAACGCTACAGTAGATGAAGCGGTGCATCTGTCGGTGAGGTATGATACCCCCTAAAAAGTCCACGGCGAAGTTCCTTTGAGTTCAGTACCGATTCTCGTAGTTGCTCGACGGGCGCGACGTTCGCACTCTTTCCCAACCCGGTATCGGTCACCACGGTTACTGTTCAATATCGGATTACGTAGCCGCTACATGTACGTTGCCACTATTCTCGACCCGCTCTCTGCAAGAAGCGAGCGAGAACGGTACGTCGTAACGTACTAGATAACTTTTTCAGCGACCACCCCGCTGCGGTCGTGCCACGGCCAGACTGTAGTACCGGCCACGCTGTTTCTTGGCTTCGAATTACATCCACTCCTACACATATCAGCAGGAACGGATACGAGGTTATTTGCGAGCCGTGGCGCTTTCCAAGAACCCTCGAACCTATTTCAGTTACAGGAGAGCGCGCCATTCTGCGCATCAGCGCGCACAACCTCCGCCGCATCGCATCTGTCCTCGGCCTGACATTCCTTCCCCTTCGTTGTACACCGCGCTGACCGCTTCGGAACGAGGAGCGACCATCTCGTATGGTGGAGTCGGGGAATCAATACCAGTATATTGCGCGTATGACCGGTAAGATGTGGCGTCAGAGTCCAGGCGTCAGAGATCGATGTAACGAGGGACCGGCGTTGTATGCTCCTTGACTTGGCGGAGCGCACCATCCGGCCGCACTAATTCGACGTACCTGTCTACGAAGCTCCCTAAGAGGGGTGCAAAGAGCCTCATGGAATACAGCAGAAGGAGTACAGATATGTTGGACACTCGCGATGGTCGGAGTTGGCTTCGCAGTCCCGTTCACATCAAAGTTGTCGGCGGTGTGGCACCTCGGTCACCGTGAGTGAACCGTCACTGTAAGACCATCGGGGAGATGGGCGCACATCGGAGGGGCCGAGAGCGGGGATCACGAGCGCAATAACGAAGACTTCGTTCCGCGTGTGCAAAGTTGAGGGACGATGTCCACTTGGAGCCTTCAAAATAACAAATATGGGTGTGTTTGAGGAACGGGACTCAGCTATCCGCAGGATGGCATCTCTGCGCATGAATAAGGCTGGGAAGTGCGATTCCAGCTGGAGCTGACGATCGTAAGTTAGCAAGCGCGGCAGGGTCCCCAGCAGTCCCAGCTCTCAAGCTTTCTTTCTTTACGCCGAATGCCATTCATATCTAGAAACCCTATCGCACAGGCTGTCTCATCCTGAAACGCCGATTACCGAATGTTGAAGATGCCTACCACACAGTTCGAGGCCGCATCTCAAGAACCATACCAGATGCAATGCAGTGGATGGCTCAACGTTGACCTCCAGCTGGAGCTAAGTGTGGCGGAGTGCGTGTGGTTCCTGTCATGCCGTTGGGCGTCATGATGTATGATCTTGCACTTGGCCCATCGAATGGTAAAGGCACGACATACCACGTTTCGCATAGTGGCGAGCGACACCCGAGAACGCCAGTCACGACGACTGACGCCACTTTCATTGAGCACCGCAAACAGCATGCATTCTGTAGCACAAGAGTGGGTCGCCATACGCAGCACGGGTCGCCACAGCAGGCACACCCAAATGGGCATCCCAACTGTACACCGCCGTTTCAACATGCTTAGCCCGCGCGGAGAAAGTGGGCACATACGTAGGCCGACACATCCTCCGGGTCGAGAAGTCAACGAAGAAGCTTCGTAGATGCTACAGATGGAACGCAAGAAGCTGCCCAAACCTGGCTGCAGGCAAAAAGCGCGTCTCATGCACGGAGAACAGCAGACCGAAGACCGCGTTTGCGGTGGTTGGAACGTGGTTGACAGGTGAACGTCTAGACATCTAGAAGCGGCGTTCAGATGAACACTCGGAGCATGGCTGATAGATCATCGCAACGGCCAGGGAACATGACGCCCTCCACGCTGCGCCATCGCCGGGCAAGGGCTCACATACCGTTTGTCGGGAAGGAGCAGTGCTGCACACCGAGGGTGTGAGATATTGCCGATCAGGTGGACGCGCAGTCAAGGGAACTGTGTGCTGAAAACGAACTATGAAGTGTGCATTGAGATAAAGTGTCATTATTTGCGCGGAGACAGTAAGATAGGATTCCAGGTGGTCCCATAATCGGGGCCAGTGTAAGAGGGTTATTCGGCTTAGAAGCCCTTGGCGGAAAGCCAGTCTACGACGCTGTGCTTCCACCTCCCGCCACTGAGGATCAGATGCCGGTTCTGGTGAACACGAATCTTCAACCGTGCGGCCTCCGACGAGTCTGCGGGGAATAGTGTTTGTTGGATGTCATCAGCCAGACGCTGTACAACAAGCAGAAGTTGATTGTGATCAGTATGTGCTGGCATTGGGACGGGAGAAGAGGTACAAACCGTTGCGCTGCCTTCCACGTTACGAATAAGCGTCAAATGTCTGGTCCCGCCATTGCGAATGTCCGTATAGACAGGCAGGGAACCATTCGAGTTGCGCGGAACATCGTACGCAAGTTGAAGCGGAGCAGAAGACGAAGACGCCACGCTAGATGTAGTTAAAGCGCGTGCATTCCTCAGAAGACCACGAGGGCGCAGGGCAGCAAGAACAGACATGACTGCACACTTGCTGGAGTGAGCTGCGCACGATAGGCAGAGGCACGAAGAAAGGGCGTACCGGAGTGGATGAGCTGGCAGGAGACGAGAGAGCGTAAGCGCGGCGGCGCCACGCGCGAGATCGAAGCTTGTAATAAATGTAAAAATTCCTCGCGTTGCCGTTTGATATGGAAGCCGACAGAGGTCAGCTTCCAATAAGCTTTCGGCCCGCCGTTTCCCA